TGCAGCGCAGCCAGGCAAGATGACATTTACTAGGCTGTCTACAGTAATGAATACACTATTAAGGGAGAGGGAAAGGGGAGGGTGAGTGGAAAAGAGCTTTTGGTGGATGAATGGAGCGAAAGGAGATATTAAACTGACACTAAGTTATTTTTGTCTCTTAAGTGAAAAAATGGTGGCTTGCCTGGTAACATATGATTTCGTAGTTCAGTTAAACAGTACACTAAAATGTGTCAACGATTTTAGGTGAGAAATAGGCAATGCAGTATCAGCATCTTCATTCATATTTGATCAGCACTAGTTTAACAGTTTGATCTGAGTTTCGTACACTGCGCTCGACAGACTCAGTGAGAATGACTTGTCAGTCACAAGGTAGCCAAGCCCAAAAGCATACGCTGCTTTATCATCTATTTTGGACCATAATTTACTAAATGAACATCATCTTGTATGGAAGAAGACTTGAAACTAGCGATTGAGACAATAAACGCGTTACTGAGTCGGGTTATTTCTCCATAAAACTGCATGGTATCGTTTTTTTATTGCAGTCAATGGATCTGCCCCTCGCTGGCCATTAAAAAGAATGCAGGTTTAAGACAGTCACCACTCTTATCAACCCTATTGAATAGCAGTAGACAGATATCTTCAGCAAACAAGCTCTAATAACTATACACTACCTGGCCAGAACCAAACAGCAGACATACAAAGTTAGTGGCTAGCTGGTGAGAAAAGAAGATAATTCAGCTCAAGAGCCAAATATTTTCCTCAAGGGTTGGGAGACTTAAACAAAGCTTTAAATGAATGAATATTGAACTTACATTCTTTAGGTGGATGAAAAACATGACTCTAATTGAATGTTAATGTAGCTCTGTGCCACTTCTTAACATACAAAATAACTACCTACAGTATGTTAGAAGTTACTGACAGCAGAAACACCCTGCAATTAATGCTCAAAAAACCACTCATGGTCGAAAAATAGATGATCATTTCCTAAAAAATGCAATCTGCACTCACTCCACTACTACGGGACTATGTCTCTCATCTATTATTGCCCATTTTGGAATGATAATACAGTTCAAATCAAATCAAATCAAATGAAATCAGTATGTTGTACCACAACAGTTGTATCTCACCTGACAGATGAGCAGAAACAAAATTCCAAACAGGGACATTTTTTGGCCAGGATACAGTAAGTGTCTACAATGTCTATAGTGTTACTTACAAATAAACTAAATTGACTCTGGAGGAATAGTTACACTAGTTACACACTGTGGTAAGCAACAGATGTATTTCAAGTCAGACAGCACAGCAGTTCAGACAGTGCTGTGAGACAGGGCTACCTCATTACACTGACCATTGCCTCATTATTGTCCGGGATTCCTTTGGATTCTTTAGGCCGCGGTTGACCATCACAGCAAGATAACCATTACGACTGATGAGAAATGCATCAGGTTTGAAACACGACATGATTTTGGATAATTTGCTGTTCAGTCACCTGAAGACAGGCCTGTTGTCCAAGGTTAATGCTTTATTATAACAAGTACAAGCCAAATGTTTCACTGTCTGCACTCAAACTGAAAAGTAAACCAAAACAGAAAAGACAACGAGCCAAAATAAAAATAAATTTACACCAATCTTCTCCAGTGGAACTACTACTATCATCTACTATTAAAAACTCAGAAGATCCACTGAAGCAATTTCATTTCACCGGCCTTGCTTAAAGGTCCTTTGTGTTTGTAATTCACATGTTCTGCCATGATTGTTTTTCCAAAGCACTTTGAGACTCAAACTAGTTTCCCTCTGAGTAAAAGCCCACTTCCCAAACCTCTAATCCAAAGATTTGCAAGTACAGTAAGTGGTGTCATGACCCAGAAGCTCAAAAGCATGTTTTATTTCAAACCACTAACCACTACTAAAAGAGCTGATATCACTGATTTGCATCCCTTAAACCAAAGAAAAAATTAAGTATTTCATTAAATGAGCTGCTAGCAGAGTGATCACCTTCCACATGGACATCCTAAGTGGCCTCTGTCTCTGGAGTTAGTCACTGGAGAATGAATTGTGCCATGCTGATTAACAATCTTATGATAATTTCAGGATCTTACTTGATGTCTACTAAAATTGGGTTGATTGCCCCAAATAACAACAACAAAAAAGAGAACCCAACACATTGTATCACTTCTGTTTGGTTATATAAAGTAATGCATATAGCTGACAGACATCTCAACTACTTAACAAATAAAATCAAAACTATATCTGTACTTTTCTTTTCCTTTTTTCTTTCTGATTTTTCATTAGCCTCAGGGATGTACATTTGCTATGTTAAGTACTTTGATTTCAATGTAATTCTGTGGCTTATGAGAAATGGACAATTGTTTAAGTGGTTTGACCTGCTTGCTGGACCCGCTGGAGGAAAATTTTGGTAATCAGCAAAGACATAAGGAGTTCTCTGGGGACCAAAAATGTCTGTATTAAATCCAGCAGTTGTAGGTTGGCTCACAGCTTTGATAGCATGTCTTAAAACAGGGTAATGTGCCTTAAATCTTATAAACTAATAAAGTGACACATATACCAGCCGATATATCTCTCAGGGGTCGTCGACCACTGGGGTTTCAGGAGGGCCTTGGGACAGCAGCCAGCTCCCGGAGGCAAATAATCTATTGCTTCTTACTATTAAGATAAATCAGATCATGTTTCCTAAACTGGGGCATTAGAGTGGGACAAAGTCTACTAGTTGTGTCTGACCTGAGACTAATAATCATGTCACATGACAGAACTGCATTCTGGGTATACTTGCTATCACTTGACTGGGTGTTAAAGCCCTGAGGAAAAGTAGGTGTGTTGTTTTAGGTTAAGAACATTTCCAGACATTTCCTATATGTGTCAGGCGATTTATAATAAGAGGACTGCAATGTAATTTAGCACTAAAATAAAAACACTCAACTTGGTTATCTCGCTTAGGCAATTCTAACTCTGCAAAATTGTTTATCAGACTGTTCAATGGTGAAAGATGGCAAATTTCATTTTTCGACTGAGGGGATAATGGTTACAACCTTGCAGACACCGACATGGAGAATTAATGACAAGGACTGGGTCTCGTGTGTTTCTTGTACATTGTATAGGTCTACCTATTGTAAATTCTCAACTTATTTTTTGTACTTACAGCAGTTCTTTTTTTTTTATTTCTTTTTTTCTATTCCCAATGTTTTAATTTTCCTGCTTGCTTGTTTAATCCTTGTAACCTGATTTGGATGAGTCCACTTTGGACTGCCTTAATGTTCATCACTCTCTGCTTCTCCACAGATTCAACAGTTCAGTTAAAGATTTTAACAGCAGGGAACTGCATGGAAGTTTTTTTTAAACATTCATACATACTTCAAGACATTAGTGACCTGGCACTGATTTAACACACATGAATCCATATATTTAAATCATATAGCTTGAACTTTTTGGACATATAATTAACAATAACAAACAAGCAAAAAATGCTGCCATTTATTAATTTTTACAATAATTTATAGATGTCAGAAAACACACACCGCTCTACTGTTTTGTGGCCAAGCATGGAGCAATGGCGTTTTTGGTTTTATTAGTTACAGTTACAGTTAGAGCGGTTCTATTTCTGACATTTAAAGCATTCATTAGCTTTAGTAAGTAGTGGCACTTAGTTCCCTTTTCTCAGCCATAAAGAATGGCTATTGTAATCAGAAACCTGGATAAAGTCTGATTTCTCAAAACCAGGACAAACTAGTTTTCTGGAACCAGGATAGGATGTTTGCATGAACAAACCATGACCAGGATGTTGCTTCTCAGAAAACACTTTGGAATTCCTGGTTTTGATAAGTGCTAAAAGATTTTAATCTCTTCTAATGCCTATTATTTGGCTAAAGGATATACCATATCAAGTAGCCACTACTCAAGGAGTTTCAAGTTACAAAGAAGGTCTTAGACTGAAAACCATTGGAGTTTCCTTTTACAGTCAACTGTGCAATTTACTTGGTATTGCAAATTAGTTTAACTGTATAACATTCAAAGGGAGAATTGCTAGCAGTAGTAATTCAGAAGAACTACAGAATAAATGAATTAAGGGCATTTCTAAAGTAGCAACACCATCACTCATGTCCTGTTTTATGAACCCTGGGGAAGCCAATCAAATCTCCTCCTTCCGCTCTGAAAATCTGCCCTGTGATCGAAGGCCAGAGGCAGCCAATGACAAATCATCTCCTGTATCTGGAGTCTGTCTCTGTCTCATAAAGACACTGAGGGATTTGTCTCCATCTTCTCCTTTATGCCGGGATGACAAGTTATCATTTCAGGCTAGCAGGTGGCCCTTTGTCTGTGATGATCTATTGATTTCCTTCCCTCCTCCTCTGGCTTGACTTTTCATTCTCCCACTCGTTGCTGTTGTTCTCCCCTCATCATCGCCTGAAGGGAAGGTGGGATGAACAGCTGCAGCCAGCAAAGAGGTAAAAAAAAGACGCGAAGAAAGAAAGGTAGACAAGAAGACGGAATCCCACTTTTGACTGGCTGGCATGAGTTCAACTTTTATGGTTTTAAGTGAAATGTCTGGAAAAATGTTGGATGTATTGCCATGAAATCTGGGACAGAAATTCATTTTCCCACTTTTGTGATCCCCTGACTTTGTCCCGTACCATCATCAGGTCAAAACTTTACTCCGTTCAATACTTTTAAAGACAGATTTTTTGATTTAGCCTTCTTTAAAACAAAGAACTCATCTTAAGTCGATTCTGAAAACGTTTAACATTATATATCCTGAGTGAAGAAACTATTCCTCACATTCTTAACAAACTTCTACAAATTGGAAAGTCAATATCTTTGTCTAGGCTTAAGACCACCTCCTCTAGACATAGAGGAAATCCCAGCTCTAGTCACATGACTGAGTCTCCATGACTGAGACAAAAAGCTTGTCTTGACAGCTTTCCCGTTTACTATCATGACCACCTCAATGTTCAAACATCAGCAGATATTCAATATTCAGCTCTTACCTGGGGGCCCATGTAGTTTGGCTTTTTTCACTGGAAGAGAAAATGAGAAAACACAGGTTAGTCAAAAGGTAAGTATATTAATTTTATTTTTCTTTCTCATCTTTCTGCATGTGTTGCAGAATTATTTGACTGTTCTTCCTTTTGATTAAATATTAATGTTATTTGTGTTGTTCTTGTTTTTTGGGGGTAGGATGGTTTTATGAACCACCTAGGATTGTTTTTCCCTCTCTAACCTGCACACATGCTTCTTCCCTTCTGTCTTTTCTTGTTCTGGTAAGGTAGGTACGAGAACACAGAATATTTACAATTCTTTATGAAAAATACATGAGACATTATTTCAACTTTGTGGAAAAATAACAGAAAGGGCTGACATTTCACAGCCAAAATGTAAAAACAGCTTAAAACCCCTGTTCTACTATATTTTAGTTCAGACACCGAAAATCAGATGGATGGAGAACAAAATGTACAATATCATTAGTTATTTACGTCAACATTGGATACTTTCTATCATTGTGCATTGTCAAAGAACCAACATATGTAATGTAATACATATTAAACAAAAAATATATAAAACAGAATTAGTTCCAATTCAAATTTGTTGTTGTCATGGTGCTTGATGAATGCAAAAACTGTAAAAATAGACCAGTAATTATCCTTAATGAATATAATTCAATTTGGAATTGTTGTAAACAAATAAAGCATTTAATTTGTCATGTTTGACTGGAGCAAAAAAACTTTTCTATTTCAGGGTCAGTTGTGCTTTTTGGTATGTTCATTATTAAATCATTAAACCATGTATCTGTATTGGCACTGGGTAGTGTAGGTAATGGATTTAGTAAAAATGTATTCTGTGTAAATCAACAAGCAACAAGGAAACGAGTTTTGAAAAGACAATGGATACTGTCTGCTAAACACAAAAATATTAACATGCTCAAACACTGGAACCATTCAAGGGTATGACACATTAGTGATGGGAAATGGTTAATAGTTTATTCTGTGGACAGATACATTGTTTATGAAACACATTTTTTTATCACAGACAGCGAACTAGAATTATTTCAGTAACGGTTTGGTTTTCTACCCACTTTATCACGCTGTTTATGGTCAAATCTTTTCACTTCCAAAAAAAACTATTTTAAAACTAAGAACTACAAATACCTGCTGTCTATATAACAGAGTAATGATCCATTTAAGCACTGAAAGGGATATTTTTTAGTGGCATCAAATGTTTTTATGTAATGTCAAGTCGCTCACACAACCGAACCCACAGAGCAGCAGATTTTTGCTGCTTATTTTGGATCTTACTTTACCTGTACAAAGACTGTACGGTTGAATCCACCTTCCTAAGCTTTGTATAGATTTCTAGCAAACAAATGGATGGCATGACAGAAATGGCAGACAGTCAAAGTGCTAAAAGAAGAGTGAATTTTAAACGTACATTTATAAGGTGGATGGAAGTTTGAATGTTTATGTTGCTCCGTGTCTGTTAAATGTTTAAATAGTTACCATAGCAACTTAAGGTAATTCTAAGTGAAACAATGTTCCACCTGTGCTAGACTCAGCTTATCAAGCAATGTCAGTCGTCTGTTGGATCGGACCACACAGCCTTCACTCCCCACATGCATCAATGAGCCTTGGCCACCCATGACCCTGTCTCCAGTTCACCACTTTTCCTTCCATGGACCACTTTTGATAGGTACTGACCACTGCAGACCGGGAACACCCCACAAGAGCTGTGGGTTTGGAGATGCTCTGACCCAGACGTCTAGCCATTACAATTTGGCCCTTGTCAAAGTTGCTCAAATCCTCACGCTGCCCATTTTTCCTGCTTCTAACACATCACCTTGAGGACAAAATGTTCACTTGCTGACTAATATATCCCACCCACTGACAGGAGCCATGATAACCAGATAATCAGTGTTATTCACTTGACCTGACAGTGCTCATAATGTTATGGCTGATCAGTGTATATGTATGTATATAAGTACACACACACACACACACACACACACACACACACACACACACACAAAGTAAATATCACTATAGTATATTTTGCTATAAAGAATTTGTTGCATTTAGAGAGATTTAATTTGTGTTTCAGACACTGCCAATGGATAAAAAATCCACAATAATATAATAAGTGAAAATTATATCAAAATGAATGGATCTTTAAAGAAAGACTTAAAACAATAGCAGTGAGATCTCACACAATGCAACACAGATGAGGTGGTCTTGAAATGCCAATGTGTGCTGGGCTTTAGGCTAAAAAGTGAGTCACTGATATTGATCTACAATGCAATTAAGCCCCCAGGAGATGTGTTATAGTCATTTCACTATACAGCAGTATAAAAGTTCATTGCCTTTTTAAGATAATTTTGTTATTTAAATTGGGTTTAAATGTATATTCTCACCAAGGGAGATCAATAAGTTTATTCAATCACAGTCCAAAAGTGTGAGATGTGATAAGCGAGACAGACACAGAGAAGAATTTGCAGCGAGAGAGGGAGATCGTTAACAGGTCATTTGTCTTAGGCTGTCAGCACAGCTCGCCTTGTGTGTCACTCGTGCCAGCTCGGGGCAGACTCACAGGAAGCCCGGTGGCCTCGTTGGTCGAGTGCCACCCGGGCTCTGACAATACCTGTGTGAATGTCCTGACATTGTGAAAGAGACTTACAATGATGTTAAGGAGGGTCACAGAGAGAAGAGACAAGAAGAGAAGAGTCTAACCAGATTTTAAACGAGTAAGATTAAGAATACACATAAATACAGTAGCAATGCAGTATGTATTGTCTGCCATAGAGATCTGAAGTCCTGACATCACTGCGGGCTAGCCGCTGTTCCACTATCTTCCGTAATTCAATTCAGTCTCATAATGAGCATTTCTTTTGGCTGCAAAACAATGACAATGACACAAAATTACCTAACGTAACAAAACGATTTCTTCCAAACGGCAACCTCCGTGGTTGGCAAATAAAGCCAACACAGAAGTAACAAAAACTGCAGTTCCTCTAATGGCCACTCGAGGCTGGCTGCAGAAGGCTCATTATTAAATATTCCCAACTTTACAGCAAAAATAAACATGTTTACAGCTTGTTCTAAAATTAGTTTTGGTCTTCATTGCTAAATTCCTCATTTATGACAACTGTCCATTGTATACTGTCCTACATCCATTTTTAATTATACAGTCTGTGGGTTTCTTCCTGACAAGTATGACACTAGTCAGGTACTACATCTGAGAAACCTACGCATTTCTCAAACCTATTGATTAAAGGACCAATGTGTAAGATTTAGCGGCATCGAGTGTATTTGCATGCGCAAAAAACACAACCAGCCCTATCTAGAGCCAGTATTTGGTTTGTTTCCGTTCTGGGCTACTGTAGAAATATGGCTGTTCAACATGGCAAACTCCACTGGAAGGCAAACGACAGAGTGTGTAGAAAAGGCTCATTCAAAGGTAACAAAAACACAACAATTCTTATCATAAGGTGATTATATATATACTATTATATGACGAAAACATTTCTATGAATATTATGGTCCATTTCTGCCAATAGATTCTGCTAAATGTGCCACATTCTCGGCGATGGCATCTGTGCTGGCAAATGGATTGGACGAATGGGTTGAGGCTCATTTTTTTTCAATATAATACTTCTGCTTTTGTCCAGAGTGTAATAAACATTCAAGCCCAAGTCCATGGGCAAAAAGTATAAAAAGTGTGTGAAAGAAATGTCAATGCCTGTTTAAAAAACCCTCACACTGAAAAACAGTGCAGAGCTCTTACTGGAGACAGACTAAATGGATACACATGCTACATTAATACCTGATGTTCCCAAGAGAGGAGTCTTTCTGTTTGAGGCTACTTACTGTTTTTTAGGGGTACCAGGCAAATGGAAAGTTTCGTTTATTTGTTCATTTGTTATGTGATTTTTATTTATCCCAGGATGGCAATTAATTGTTTTAGGTTAAGTGGAGAGTGAGGTCAGACTTGGAACAGCACCACTGAAGCTGGTGGGGATGTTGAGATGTTGTACATGCCCCCTGAGAAAGTTTTAGTTTTTTAATCTCAGTAGCACAAACTTGTAATTTTATGACATCCTTTATGTTTTATCACTGTGTAAATTAGTAAATAAAAGAATCATTTCTGCCGCTGTCAAGGAATAATCTAAACCTTACACTCAAAGGATAAGTAAACTACATGTTAGTGTGAGGTCAACAAATATAATTCTATTTTCTGCAAATAATGGACAATCAATAATGTAAAGTCACACGTAAAGCACAGCAGAAGCAAAGTGCTGCTTTCAGCTCTCAGTTAATTCATACATTTCCAAGCGACAGCAGACAATGTAAATTGTGATGCTTCCTCCTCTGAGTGCCAGAGTGATCCTCGCCTTTCAAGATCACAGCTCCCGAAGGCTTTCCAGTGCATTTTCATCACTGAACTGGCACTAAAATTACTTTCTATATTTTTCAATAGTGTGACTAACTAAGAGATGCCAGCTGTCAAGTCCTACATCTCATTCTGATAAATGCATCATATTTCCATCATTTTACTGGTCACACATGAGAAAATATCACATCAGAACCAAAAGCACAAGCTTTCTCTTTAAATGACGCTCCGATGGGATGATTCTCAACACGCAAACATCTTGGGTGTCCCGTCAAAGAATAGGACAGAGCAGCAGCATCAGACATTTAATGGATGTGAGTTATGTTAACAGCTGTGGTGATCAAAATGTTGTGAACACAATGTCATGAGTAAAACGGGAAAATGGTCAGATATGGGGACATCTTATTATTTATACTGGTCATATAAATACTGTATATACATATTACAACTGTAAGTCTTGAGTGAGTTCTGTGAGATTATTTTCTTTGGAATTTGTTTTTGTGAGGAATATTGTAACTTAGTTCATCAAGCAATGTGATCAGCATAAATGTGAAATAATTCTTTAATTGGGACATGAGGTATTATGTAGTTCAGAGTAGGCATGTAGTTTAAAATCAAAATTAAAATAATGGTGCATTCA